ATTATTCATTGTTTAATCATTATAGAGCTAAAAAACTAGTGTCAGTAAACAATTTAAGCACAAACATGTGAATTTTAGGCAGTGAAATACTACAATACTGTTAATTGCATAATGTAATCTTTTGCTTTCTGTAATTAAATGGTCTAAGTCTGCCAGACTCAATCTATAACAGAGTTTTGTGTTAAATAATCTTAGATGCTATACAGCAGCTCTGTTCTAAACAGTAGTACAATTCTTGACCATACAACCCACTTGTAGGGTGGAAGGGGAAAAAAACAAAACAAAACAGCCAGCCATTAAAAGAAAGTCAGGAAAACGTGTAACTCAATGTGGAAGACATCTAAGTTCTATTGAGTATAATGAGGAAACCCTCCAACTTAAGTGTACAGAAGATTTCAGTTTTGATCTTTAAAAGAAAAACTGAATATACTCCTGTTATGTATTAGTACACTTTTCCTAAGCAATAGTATTCCTTGATATGTAAATAAAAGCAAAGATGTGTTAAGACTGCATGATTCTTAATGATTTATCAAAACGTTCTAATCATCTATTATGTAATTAACTTCTTCCTATTTGACAATTTCAGACCTGTGGGGAATTGGTTTTGCTCTGATCATAACACATTTTTTTGTTATGAAGGTGAGAGCACTTTGTTAATTATTGTTCAGAATTCCATTTACTTTTCTTTCCTCAAGAACAAGCGAAACATTTATTTCTGTAAGTACTTCAGATGAACAGCCTAGTAAAAATGTCTGAATTGCCAAACTATATTCCTTAGAAACCAGGTTTAAAGAATGTTGTCTTGCTGTTACTTACAATGGAGAAAGCAAATTCTTCAGTTAATCACTGTATGCATGATATACATGCTGCATCAAAACACATTACTTGTGTCAGCCATTCCACCAACTTCAATAAGGCTATCCACTAAAGTTTCTCACTTTTGCATGCTTGTTCCATTCAAACAGCAAAATAACTTTTCTTTGGTGAATTTTGATTTTGCTGCCAGCTGCACTTATCTATGTTTCTGAGGACACATTCTGCTACATTTTTCTTTGAATACAGTCCATATACCTATACTAGGGAGTCCAACTGAATTCAGTCAAGTTTTCCAAGTAAAGACAGAGTTACTTTTATCATGGCTTCAGTCAAGCTGACAATTTCTAGTGCTTATATTACACATTCTGAAGAGAAGTCACAAACAGCTATATATTTAGTAGCACTAGTAAGACAGAGCAAGAAAACACAAAGTTGCTTCTGAAGTAATCCATAGTATAAGCAACTGCATTTTATGCTACAAGTTCATAAAGCTCTTGAAGACTAATTACAAGCCAACAACCAACAAGTTAAAATGTACACTTGTTCCATACCACTGGATCTTAAAATAAATTTGCAATCTTTCACAGAAAGGTGACAGGTTGAAGGAATGCTGAAAACAACTTACAGCAGCCTTCCCCAGCTTGATACTCTTTAAACATTTTGATCTTCAACTTCCATGGGCTCCATCCAGCATGACCAATACTTGGGGATGCTTAGTAGTTCTAATCTAAAACATCTTGAGGGAACAAGGTTGGAGAAGACTGAACTACCTGTCATCTAGAACCAGGTTTTTGTTTGTAGAACCTTATGCTGATTCCAGCAGGCAATAGAATTCTTGGGCAGAATATCAGGTTTTGCAGAAGAAAAGGTTAAAATAAGTTAAGTGTTTTAAGAGTTAGGCTCTATAAAAAAAAAAAAACACAATTGTATGAATGCTGTTCACAAATATGATAAGTCAGCATTAAAAAGGATGGGATGACAGAGGATGTATAGATAGGGTTTCCCATTTTGAGAGAGGAAAATCTGATGCATATAACCATAAATAGTTACTGCTGTAATTCTCACACAATGAACCAATAAACCAATGATACTTATGACTGTCAAGGTCCCAGAGATTTCAGCTCAGCTTATTTTTATCAAGCAGGTGCAAATTTTATTTGTACCTGATATTGCAACCAAAAAAACAACACTCAAGGCAGGATACACAAAATTTCAATCCAAATACAATTACTGTAAAATGTCCTATTAAACTCAGTGGGGCTTTTAACTGGAGCTGACAGGTCTTGAACTTAGAATTTCCTCTCATGCAAAGTATGAGCTCTTTCATAGGATTCTGACCCCTCTCCATTTTTAGCTCCTATGTTTAGTTTTAGGAATGGCCAGTAAGGAAAATATCTTATAGGACTATTTTGGGGACCATCTAATAAAGCAACATGATCCAAATCATCCAGCCAATGAATATTTTCTAGTATATGAACATACACGGAGTCACCATTTTAAACACTAAAAATGCTTTCCGTTTCTCCAGAAAAATGTCACTGACAAATGTACCAAATGTTTAGCTACCCAATATATAATGAGGTAAACAGATAAAACATTCTGCAGAAATCATCACTACAAGACATCTGGAATTAATATTTCTGTTGATCTACTGCAACACACACTTAGAGGATCACCAGAACTATCTGAAGTAGTGACAGAAATATGCTGATTTGTCCTGTAAAAGTCTAGCTTTTTCCCATCAACCACAAATCTGTGATTCATTTTTGTTTTGTTTTACTTCTAACACTAGAACAATAAGGAAAATTCAAGGGGTACACACAGTGCATGCCCCCATGGGTGACAGTTTTATGCCACTGTTGCTTGTTTCCTCACCCTTCTTATTCTATTTTTCCAGTAAAAGCAAACATAATAATGACAGTACGGGATGCCTGTGGAGTATCTAATTGGAGACATGATCCTAGCAGTTGCTCTAAAGATGTTTGATAATTACAGATGAAGAATGAAATATTACAGCAGCCTCTTGGGATGCAGGGGAACACTTGTGAACACATTCTTGGGATGGTGTTGCCTTGTGAACAGATGGTAGTTAAGCAAACAAAATCTAGCCTGAGATGAACAAAAACACCGAACAGAAACAGGAAAATGCAACAGGTACCACACTGCATCATTTAAAAGTATCCTCTTTGATAGTGACTCCAAAAGCTTTGGAAATAGCAATGTGTCTGTTTCACCAACGGATTGAAATAGAAGCTTGAAAAACCACTGTGCCCCTTTATCACACTACAGTGCTGATAAAACATCACCGACCAATGAAACCAGGCTCCTGTAATTACAACCCTGATATATCAGCCTATTAGTAACTGCTAACAATAACTTTTGATCTTCAATTGAATTAGACAATCTACTGAATGACTCAATCTTAAAAGGGCAACGTAGTATTAAAACTGGAAAGTTCAACTTATTCTGTGTGGTAGAAACATAAAACTTTTGCAGACATGCACACAACTAGGGGTGGGCTGCACCAATCATTGTTGCATGTATACTCAGACCTTCCACCAGATCTACTTAGTATTATGAAATTTTAAAGTCCCATATCTCAGAAAGGCAGAAACCAGGTGTACATTCAATCTTCTCAGATTACACAATTCTGTAGATACTCAGTCAGAGCCAGCCTCTCAACAGTAGTAGACCTTTCTAAACACTAACATTGTCTTCTTTGAATTTCATCCAATTAAGAATAAAGTTGTTTTTAATAACACATATGTATTTAACTGACTATGTAATCTACTCAGTTCAGCTAAGCACAACTCAGTGCACTAATCAGAAGTTTTATCTACTTGCACATTTTGTGGGCCATGATACACATTAAACAATCTTTACATGCAGGTCACTTCCAAGCTGAGTTGATGTGCATCAATTCTACACATTTTCCTCAGACTGCATGCAAAGCACTGTCACATGTCACAGCCAATGCATTTCATATTAATTCCAACACAGAAGTACATCACATGCAGGAGCTGTGTTACATATTAGGATTTCTTTTTAACTATCATAGCATTTTAGAAGTTATTAACACTCAAGCAGGCACCTCTGTGTTATGCATAAAGCATAACACTTGAGTGATACAGATAATTCCACCAACAATTCTCTAAAATATAGACCTGTGTACAGTAAGTGTTTACTCTCTGTCTCCCAACAGAAGGGGCATATTTCCCAAGTGAAAATGGCCATGCCATCAGGGATGAGTAGGAAGACCCCTCCCCCACAGCAAATGCAAGCTAAGCAGATAAAGAGAAGCTGTTGGAAACAATCATGTTTAGCCAAGAGATCACCAACTTAATTCCAGATGTAAAGGTCCACAAGTTATTAAAATGCTTTAGGATGGGTCTGCTACTAAATAAAATTATACTGCAGCTCATTTTTAACACCGCTTGCTAGTTTGACTTGAAAAATTAAATAAATTTATATTAGGGGTTACATAAGACATTTATCTTTAGTTTTGGAAATTACATAACTTTTCCAGTATTTATTCTCCTACATGCCTACATTTTTCTTCTGAACATGAAATCTGAAGTATCACTTGGACAGTGATATTAACTGGCACAGAATATAGAGGGTCCCCCATTCCCTGCTGCATATCTTCAGATCAACACAATATTCAAGTCGACAGACCTTTTTTCACCCTCTGCCTGGCTCTGGCAGTGTAGATTAGTGTGGGAGACGTCACCGTCACCGTGATGTTTATCATCCCTTCTCTAGCTCTGGCTCCCCAACTCTAATGCTTAGACAGAAATGAACCAGTGTTTTCTTTCCACTACACACGATCCTTGGAGCGCGCTCTCAAAGACACAGCTGGGGCGGTCGGCTTTTTAAAAGCCTGCCCATGCTGTCATCTCTTTGAGAACCTTGGCAGATTAGGAGTGACACGTGTCCTTTTCTCTTCCCCGTTAGAAGTTCCGGCTCACGTCAAAAGACGCACCCACCACAGAACCGCACCCGAGAACGGTTATTACTGAAATTACTGCAGGAAAGAATATTGGGGACGGGGGGATGGAGCCGTGAAGGTCACTGCCTACACGGTAAGAAAAAACTGCGGTAGAGAAAAACACAGAAAAGGCACCGGTGATTGTAAAATCGTAGCAAATGAAGTAATGAGGTGCAGGGAGGCGGCAGTCACCCACCTCTTTGATCTTCGCTCTTTTCTGCCGGATGACGGGGTCTGACGGTTCCGCTCCCACGGCTCCGATGGGTTTGCGGAATGGCAAGTCAGGCAACTCGGCGCCCCCCGCCTCCTTCCTGCCCAACTTGTCCTGGAGAAGAAACTTCGCCTTGTCCTGGTGGATGTCCCTGCGGATCTCCTCCGGCAGCTTCTGCAGAGTTTCCTTCGCCTCCCGCAATGCTCGTTCGTGGTCCTCGCGGATCTTGGCCAAGTTCTCCGCCGCTTCTCCTGCAGATCCGGGCCCGACCCCATAACCGGCGCTGCTGCCCGCTCCCGCTCCCGGTGGCTGCGGCGCGCGCTGGTCCCCCTGCGCGGGCGGCGACGGCTGCTGCTGGAGGGTAGACGAGTGGAAGAAGACGCCGCTGAGGAGCTTGGGCGAGTCGGGCAGGAAGAAGATGGCCCCGAAGCAGAGCGTGATGAAGGCGCTGAAGACCAGCAGCAGCACGAACTTCTCCGTCAGGCGGAAGGCGCCGCTGGGGCTCGGGACCTTCCTACCCCCCGGCCCGCCCAAGGGACCCCCGCCTAAAGAGCCGCCCAAAGCGCCCGGGCCCGTGGGGCTGCCAAAGAGCGGCAACAGGCTGACGGCGGGCATGGCCTCCCGGCAGATCAGCTCCCCCTAGAGGACGGGCGGAGACAGCCACGAAGCCACAGTGCCGGCGGCCCGTCCGGGAGGCTCTCCGGCAACAACCCCCGGCACGCCGCCGCCGCCGCCAGAGCGAGTCGGCGGCGGGACTAGCCCGCGCTTCCTGTCCCCGGCCGGCGGCAGCGCCGGCGGAAACTTTCCTCGTCCTCGTCAGCGGCAGGAAGTTTTCTCGGCGCAGAGTGCCCGCCGCCACCTCCTCGGTGGGAGTTCTTGGCTCACTTGAGGCGTGCGGAGGCCCGTGGCTGAGCGGTCGCCTGAGGAGGCAAGTTCGCCTGGGGGCTTGCGGGCACTGGCTGTGTCAGCTCCGGGCGCCGTTACTGCTGGTGCTGCTATCGCTGCCCATATCGGCGCCTCCGTTGCTTGCGGCCAGGTATCCGGTGAGAGAGAAGGGCACTGGAGCGGCTGCTGTTTTCACATCAGCGCCCAGCGCGCTGACAGGAGCGGTACTTTCCTCCTCTCCGAGCCGCCGCCTGGCGCTCCCAAGCAGCGAGCGACCGCTTACTCGAGCACGGAGTGCAGAACTGAGGCAACCTCCGTAGTAGGGAGACCAGAGGGGAGAAGGGGAGGCTCCATTTCACGGGCAAGGAGCGGACTGGGCCAATCACAGGGTAGGCGGGGCTCGGGGAGGGGGAGGAGGCGGTGGCAGTTACGGGCGAGGAAGAGGGGTGGGCGGGGCCTTGGGAGGCGGGGTGATGCCGTTGAAAGTAACGGATAGGGCTCGCAGGCGCTGCTGCGTGAGCGGTCGCGCTGCCCGAGCCACGGCAGCAGCAGCCCCGCGCCGGGCGCGCTGAGACGTGGTGGTCGCGCATGATAAGCGTCCGCGGTCCCTGCTGGTTTAAGACGGCTCCCACGCAGGATGAGGGGCGCGATCGGGTAAACATCAGCCTTCCCCAATGACCTGGCGCCTTGCAGGCCGGGTGTGTTGGGCTACAGATCCCATCGCCTCGCAGCTAAGCTGTGTCAGATAGGCGGGGATGGGAGTTGTAGTCCGACTCATTTGGACCGGAGGGCACCGGATCGGTCAGACTGTATATGCGTAACTGGGAATAAGCCTTATTGAAAACTGGACTTTTGAGTGGTTCTGTGTAAGGCTGCAACCCTCCTAGCCCCAGCTTGATTGGCCTCGATTTTATTGGCCTCGGTTTTATTCATATATACAGCCTTGTCCTAACTTAGTTCTTTTCACAGTTAACACTGGTGAAATCAGTGGGTTACTTGGGGAGGAATTCCAGCAATTGGGTCTGGGAGGAGCTTTATTTGTATGATCAGGAGGAGCTTTACTTGTATGATTAGCCTCCCTTAGGTTGCAAGGTATTGCTCATAAAACTGTTTATTTTATTTAATCAACATTATGAGAAATTTATGGCAAGAGAGAAATGAAGGCTGTGATCCCCTACAAGATGTATATGCACAAGCTAATTTATACTAGGAAGTAAATTTATTTGGAACATATAAATCCCACTGATCCAACCACACCTACCTGGGAATAAGTAGGACTGAGATTTGGGTAAATATGTATAGAATCTGGTTGCTCCAAAGGAGTATGCACACCTCACTGAATTCAGTGGGGTTCACATGTTCTGAATATAAATTAGGAGGATTGCACTGTAAAACTGGAATATATTGAAAGCTAATGTCAGAGGAGCAGACTTTTTTCTCCCCATCAGAATTGTACCCACTGGTGAGCTGAGGCTGTCCAAGTATCTTCATCTGCATAGCTGTGCAGGAGCTTGGCCTGAAGGATTCTTCACTGGGGCAGGCAATCTTATGCTAATTACTCTGTGTGATCCTCCGTGTTCCTCATCATCAACAGTACCTTATTTAAAACAACACCACTTCTAGGAGATGTTCTGGCTTGGACCAAAGCAGAGGGCTAGCCCCCAGTAATGCTACTTTGCATGCCTTTGTGAACATGATTTACTGTGTATGTGTTGTACTGAAAGGCACAATCCTATGCATGCTTAGACAGGAAGAAGTGCTACAATTCCCAGCATTCCCCAGCCAGTCAAATGGCAAGCATTAATGGATCATCTAAAACTAAAAAAATAGGATCCAATTCTCCAAATATCACCTGCTTATAATGTACAGTTTCCATGCACAGAGAGTCCTACCACTCAGGGCAGTTCTATATATCAGTAAGCCTGCACCTGCAGAGGAAACAAACTAAACAAGCAGGGGAAACCAGCTAAACATTTCCATGTCCACTGAGTCTCTCCTTCAAATGACAATTTCCTGAGGGATGAGGAAGAATTAGGCTAGGAGACATTTGCAGGGAAAGAGGAGTGCCTGCCTTTGAAATAAAAAAAATTCTGTGGTGTTTGGAGGTTGTAGCCTGTAGGATGTCCAATGACTTCCTTGGAGCTCAGCAGTTTCTGTAGACCCAGAGAGTGAAGGCTGGAATGAAAGTTTTCAGGTATTTTGCAGTTAGGAAAGAGGAAACAACCTTCTCCCTTCTATCTAGCAAAAAGAAATCCACAATTGATAGGCCATGTTAGCTTTTCCCTTTGGTTGTTTGGCGATGAGGATGATTGGTGATGATTGGAGAATGAAGCATCTCATTAGTGCCTCCCTATTATTTTGGCCAAAGTAAATACTTTTTCTTTTTAAACTAATCTTTTAAAACTGTGACCCTCTGAATTTTGCTGTAGCCTTTTAGTGATCTTACATATGTGGCTTTCTGTTCTTTGTGACTAAAACTTTTATACTGGAATGTGTTTACTGTTTTTACTGCTCTGTGCTTATTGCTGTATTTTCATGTTTTGTGGGTTATAATTACCCAGAGAATACTTTCACTGGGTGACGTGTAAATACTGCTGCTAATGAAATATAGATGCCAATACCTTGAGCTGAGCTTGGAAGGTAATCTGGGATTATTGTACTTGTAGAATGTGGTCTGGTGCCCAGAATATCTGAATTGGCATCAAGGAGATCCTGACAGAAGCATCTGGTCAACCTGCTTTAGCGATATGAAGCCCCCTCTGAGGTCTTGTATATTATGTTACTAAATGGATCTAACTTTCCACTGCTTGGAATAGCCCCCAGTTTGATAGAGAAAAGCCTTCAAGCAGACTTGAAGGCTTTTCTCTATTGTGCCCAAATGAAGATACACCTGCTAGTATTTTTAGACATGGCCCCTCCAATGGTGCATCTATATATCCCGCTCAGGGAGGAGTTTGTTCACTGTATTCTCTTTAGGTATAGGGCTGCCCCACAACAGGCAAGAGAGCAAGCAGGTAACATCCCTCAGCTGCTGTGCTTCAGGGAGTCTTTCAGGGAGATGAAACAGTGTATGAATTGCAAAGCTAGGTGCTGGTGTGCTGCCACTAGCTTAAACCACACGGGAACATTAAAATTAATGAATGACATAAAAATGCAATATCCCTCAGGTGTAAACCCCCAGGGCCCCTTTAGTATGCATGCTAATTTGCAGGTGACTAAATTTCAAGTCTCAGTGCTGTGGTACTTGACAAAGACACATCCTCCTTTATTATAGGTTATATGTGACTAAACAAACAAAACAAAACAAACCCCAATCACTCTATTGCAGTACAGTTCTTGTGGTCTGCTATGTTTGGTAGGTTAAACAGAAACCCATTTGGGACAATGATATCAAGAGTCCTCAAAGAAATCTCTAGGGAGACTAGAAGACCTATGGGTGAGATTTGCTGTAGGCAAGGGGTTTGTGGTTAGGGATAAGACTGTGAATAATGGAAGTGGAATTCAGAGGGAACATCTTGAAGTTCTTAAAGAAAAATAAACCAGGTTGCCTAGGCAGAAAACTTAGGAGATACCTGGAAGAAAGCATTGCTAGGCATTATTTGATACACTATTAAAAATTAATGAAACCATTTTTTAAATTAGAAGTGCATGTTGAGCAATGAGTCAACATTTTACCAAACAGATAACTTTTTTCTGTTAGAAGTTATGTAAAGCCACACTTTTATTGTACATGGCTGTATGCCCAAAGACCATTTTTGCCAAGCAGTAAATTATATGATGGTAGTGTAATGAACACAGAAATGAAAGGAACAGCTATAAAATGGTTTAACAATAGCCTGCAAAGTCTCTGACATTAAACCACATTTATGGTACAGTTACTCCAGAGCATCTCTTGTGACTTCATGTAGCTACTTTTCACCATGTGATTAAGAAAGCATGTGGTGAGAAATGGAAAAAAAAATCAGAGCTCCATAGTAATTTCACTCTTTTTTTAAAACAGGTGGTGATGGTATGGGGTTTTCAATGGATGATTTATTACTGACTCCTTGGGACAACAGAAAAGCATTATCAGCTCTTAACACAATTATCCAAGTGAATAATGAATATATATATCTTTGGCTAGTGATTTATTGTATTTTGGATAACTATTTAAGTTTGCTTAGAAGGTTGTGGGCCGCAACATTTTCTTACGTTGCCATGTAAAAGCCTGCTAGAAAGGCATCCAAATTAAAATTCAGTTTGTTTTACAATCTGATGTAAGCAAACTGCGTAAGTGGAATTGGAAAGCATTGCTTGGTTTGTGTGATTTATAATAGTGTCTGTAGATACACTATTAGTTTTAATTCAGTGTTATTGTTTGGTATGTAAAGACATTTATTTATATTTATATACCGTCTTCTTACCTAGAGTCTCAGGATGGTCTTACAATAGCATGTTCCTTTATTATTTACATTTTATCTTCGGTCTTATCTGAAGTTACCCTCTGGCTAACAAGTGATCCTCAGACCATGATTTAAGTATTATTGTTCAAGATGCTTAGGAAATCTGTATCATGCTGGAATAGAATTTAAGCCAATTCATATTTTGTTAATTATACTACTGTCTGCTGTGCTATGCCTTGTGGAAGATTTTATAGTTGATATCTTATCAGCTTTACAAATCTTGTGTCCTCAATTTTATCTTTAGCCATTATTGCCCATTTCCCTCCTTCTTTTAAGCATGAGTGTCTCTGAATGTGTAATCTATGCCTGCTGGTTTTGTTTTGTTGTGTTTTCTTGATGGTTTCCAATATGGCTTCACCAATTAAGTACTCAGGAAATTGCTCACCAAAGTTTTAAACGATCTTTTCCTGGCCAAATGTAGCAGTCTTCCCAGATGATAGCTTCTGTTGCCTATTGC